GCACCTTCTCCAGAATCGACCACATGATAGGACATAAAGCGAATCTAAACAACTTCCAAAACATTAGTATCATACCATGTACCCTCTCAGACCACCATGGGATGAAACTGGAAATCAACAACTCAAAACTCCCCAGGAAGTATAGGCACTCTTGGAAATTGAACAATATGCTATTAAACGAACATTGGGTCAGAGAAGAAATCAAAGATGAGATCAAAAAATTTATGGAAACCAATGAAAACTCTGATACAACACTCCAAAACTTGTGGGACACCGCCAAAGCAGTGCTACGAGGTAGATTCATCGCAATCGGAGCACATGTCAAGGCCCAAGAAAGACGCCAAATACAAGAACTAACCTCACACCTCCAGGATCTGGAAAAACAGCAGCAGAAGAGTCCCACGCACAATAGGAAACAAGAAATCATCAAAACAAGGGAGGAGATAAACCAAATAGAAATCAAAAAAACTATACATAAAATCAACAAATCAAAAAGTTGGTTTTTTGAGAAAATAAACAAAATAGACACTCCACTGGCCCGATTGACCAAAAAAAAACAAGAGAAAGTGAGAATCAATAGCATTAAAGATGAAAAAGGCAACATAACAACAGACACTGCAATCATTAAGAAAATAATTAGAAATTACTACAAAGAACTGTACTCCCACAAATTTGAGGACCACCAAGAAATAGAAAAGTTCTTGGACTCCCACCACTTACCAAAACTCAGTCCGGAGGCAACTACAGAATTAAATAAACCCATAACCGAGGTAGAGATTGAAACAGTCATCAAGGATCTCCCAACGAAAAAAAGCCCAGGCCCAGACGGCTTCACTACAGAATTCTACAAAACATTCCGAACAGAACTAACCCCAATCCTCTACAAGCTCTTCAAAACAATAGAGGAGGAAGCAACCCTCCCAAACTCATTCTATGAAGCCAACATCACCTTAATCCCAAAACCGGACAGAGAACCATCAGAGAAGGAAAACTACAGACCTATCTCTCTGATGAACATTGATGCTAAAATTCTCAACAAAATCCTAGCCAATAGAATTCAAAAAATCATCAGACAGATCATTCATCCGGATCAAGTAGGATTCATCCCTGGAATGCAGGGATGGTTCAACATTCAGAAATCCATAAATGTTATAAACCATATCCAAAAACTGCAAAACAAGAACCACATAATAGTTTCAATAGATGCAGAAAAAGCTTTCGACAAAATCCAACACCTCTTCATGCTAAAAACTCTAGCCAAAGTAGGCATAGATGGGAAAATCCACAACATAATTAAAGCAATTTATGAAAAACCCAACGCCAGTATCATACTGAATGGAGAAAAGCTAGAACCCTTCCCACTGAGATCTGGAACAAGACAAGGGTGCCCGCTATCACCACTGCTATTCAACATAGTCCTAGAGGTACTTGCAGAGGCCATAAGACAAGAAAAAGAAATTAAAGGCATACGTATAGGAAACGAAGAAGTCAAGCTTTCACTATATGCAGATGACATAATCCTATACATAGAAAAACCAGGAGACTCAATACAGAAACTGCTAGAACTTATACGAGAGTTTGGCAGAGTGGCAGGGTACAAAATTAACGAACGAAAATCAACAGCCATAGTGTACGCAAATAACACCAAGATGGAAGAAGATCTAACCAACAGGATACCATTCAAAATAGCAGAGAGAAGTATGAAGTATTTGGGAATAAATCTAACCAAAAGCGTAGGAGACCTATTCGAAGAAAACTACAAACTATTTAAAAAGGAAATTGAACAAGACCTCAAAAGATGGAATAACATCCCGTGCTCCTGGATAGGCAAAATCAATATCATTAAAATGTCTATACTACCACAAGCAATATACATTTTCAACGCAATTCCAATCAAATTGCCCAAAACATTCTTCACGGAACTGGATACAATGATTCAAAAGTTCATCTGGAAACACAAAAAACCACGAATAGCTAGAACCATCCTGAAAAATAAGAGGTTAGCAGGGGGAATCACAATCCCGGACCTCTGGACATACTATAGAGCAGTGGTTATCAAAACAGCCTGGTACTGGCACAAAGACAGAAAGGAAGATCAATGGAATAGAATAGAAGCACCAAAAGGGAACCCACACAAATACAGCCAATTAATCTTTGACAAAAAGACCAATGATAGCTCAAGCAAGTGGGAAGGCCTCTTTAGTAAATGTTGTTGGGACAACTGGCTGATAGCCTGTAGAAACAAAAGGATAGACCCACATCTATCACCATACACTAAGATCCAATCTACATGGATAAAAGACCTAAACCTACATCCAGAAACCTTCAAACTCTTGCAAGAAAATGTAGGAAATACACTGCAAGACCTAGGAGTAGGTTCCGACTTTCTAAGAAGGACACCAAAAGCAATAGCAGTTGAGAACAGAATAAACAAATGGGACCTCATCAAACTAAGAAGCTTCTGTACAGCAAGGGAAACAATCAACAAAGTAAAAAAGCAACCCACAGAGTGGGAGAAGATCTTTGCACACGATATAGGCGATAGGGGGCTAATTTCCAGGATATACAAAGAACTTCAAAACAACCAAAAAACCAAAACAAACAAGCCACTCAAGAAATGGGCAAGGGAAATGGGCAAACATTTCACAAAGGAACAAGTCCAAATGGCAAACAAACATATGAAAAAATGTTCCAGCTCCCTAGCAATAAGGGAAATCCAAATTAAAACATCGATGAGGTACCACCTAACACCAGTAAGATTAGCCCACATAAACAAGAACACCAACGACGCTTGCTGGCGAGGATGCGGGGAAAAGGGAACCCTACTCCACTGCTGGTGGAGCTGCAAATTGGTACAGCCTTTATGGAAATCAGTCTGGAGAACACTCAAACAACTCGGAATCTGCATGCCATATGACCCAGCAATAGCACTCCTAGGAATATATCCAAAACACCTGTTTTACGACAAACCAACATGCATCCCTATGTTCATTGCAGCACAATCAGTAATTGCAAAAACATGGAAGCAACCGAAATGCCCATCAGCAGAAGATTGGATAAGAAAGCTTTGGTTCATCTACTCCATGGAATACTACGCAGCTATTAAAAAAAACAAAATGCAGTTCTTTGTGGCTAAATGGGCACAACTGGAAACTATAATGCTAAGGGAAATGAGTGAATCCCAAAAGATTAGATACCACATGTTTGCCTTGATTTAACCTGTAATTTTTTGTTTGGTTGTTTGTTATTTTTTGAACCTGTCATTGATACTGTCTCAACCCAGATGTTTCGAAGAATGGAACTCGCATTATTCTTAACATATTGTTTACCCATTACTATGTCAATTAATTCCATAATGTTGTATATTGAAACTGAGGCCTTGTTGGGGCTTTTAACCGACCGGATCTTTACTCTGTTAGACCTATCTTCAGACCATAGAAGGTCTCCCCAGGAGGCCACTGAACTTATCTGGACAATAAGACGCTGAACTTTATGCTAGGCATGTGTTTTCAAGCAATGAATCTCAACTGAACTTGATCTATGGTTATGCAGCAAGGTGGAGGAATCCACCATGGGGGGAGGGGTATGGGGAGGGGTGGGGGGAATCCCCAGCGCCTATAAAACTGTACTACATAATACAGTGTAAGCAACAATAAAAAAAAAAAAAAAAAAAAAAGAACAAGCACTAGCAGATGATTACATAGGGACAAACTATGCATGTGCCGAGAACCAAGAAGTACAGTTCATTAAAAAAAAAAAAAAACTGACACAATTAATTGAATATAAACCCTGACATAGCAATTTTAGCATTTCAGGCTAACAACAACAATAAAACATAATGCTTGTACATTGTGTTCAAGCCTCCAGTGTCATTAAATCGATTCTGATGACTGCTCAGAAACCCCAGGTGGTACCTGAGATGCACTGGCCCAAGACAGCAGCACGGCCTTACTTAACCCAGTCAATATTTATGCCTTTCCTTGTGCTAAGACTGTATTACCTTGGCTGTGATCCCTCTGGTTTGGTATAATTCCAATTGATATAAATTTTGTAAAACATCACCTTAACCTGAACTACTAGTCACCACACTATTATACTTCCATTGTTTAATCTTTGAAAAACAGACGAGGCAAAAATAAATAAATAAATACAACAAAGATGCTTTTAGTTCCGCCTAATTATGGAATCAGTATAGCAAGGACATTTCCTGGCTTCTTTCCTTAGGATTTAATCCAGCATTCATGTTGCCGTGAGTTTTTATGCATATTCTCCATTAACAAATGAGGATATAAAATCAGTAAATAGGCAATAAAATCAAGTTAAATTGTAACCATTACTTTCAGCTGCAGTAATCAGAGTCCATGCTTCAACAAAAAACAAAGTGTTCTTAAAGTTGTTTTCAAATGGGACAGAGAAAAGTATTAGGGCATTGTGTACATTTCTGTAAATTTTAAGTTACATTTGAGGAATACGAATTTAGGACTCCCTGAGAAAGACTTACCATGTGTTTCGTATATTAGCTGGCACTGCATTCTCATGCTCTCTTCAGAGAAAACATACTCACTCCTGGGTGCAGGCAATACTAACGCTACATGGTGTTCCTTACTAGCAGTTCCCTTCCTCTCCAGAAAATTCTAAGTTCTCCCTTTGCTTCCAGGAAATTTCCTTTGGGAAATGATGGGCTGGATCAGGACTATAAAGGTTATAGGGCTCAAGGATTCCTGTAGGACTGCCTGAGGCCTTTGCTGGAGGCAAATCACTCTCCCTTATACTTTACCTCTCTTTGTAATTGTACCCCCACAGAGCACAACACTCCACTTAATCTTTGTCATCTTCACTTTGAATCAATTTCCAAGGAACACAACTGAAAACAGTTCTGCATAGTAAGTAATGTAAAGGTTTATCCTTACTATTCTTATCAGAACAAATTTTCCCTCTCAAACATCACCCCACAGTTGTAAATAGATAAAGACAAAGAAAATGGGATCAAGCTTACTTACCTGCTCCAACAGGGGCAGCTCCAGAAGTGAGGTCAGATCGCTTTCCCCTTAGCTCTTGCAGGAGATAGTTCACAGTCTTCCACTCAGCACTCAGGTCTTCTAACTTCCTCTTTAATAGGAAAGCACACAGGTTACTTATTTGATTAACACCTTGACCATAACAATTCGTAAAGTTACTAACTCATCCTGTGAATATATGATTGGATTTCTATTACATTTTACATCTCAATTTTTCTGGAACATATTCCTTTCAAATGGACTATTTCAGCCACCCACCCTACAAATATTTACTTATTGTTTGTCACATGGAAACACTACCCCCAGGCACAAATTTATTCAAATAGGGCTGAGTGCAAACATTACGGAAAAGCAAACAAACAACAGTCCCCTCTCAATAGTTATCCCGACATTTAGATCACGTCTATTGTGGCTTTATATTGAAATCCCCTGAGAACTTAACACAAAACAAAACAAACCTCAAAGCCCTGGCTCACCCCAGATCAGTTGTCTCGGAACATCTTGGATGGAGGGTCTTGCCAGACACGGGGAGAAGGTCAAATTATCAGCTGCTGAGCTCCTCGTGGAATTTGCCAAGCCCGTGTCTGCCCCATGATGCTCTGAGCTTGTGCGAAAGCCTGATTTTAATGATCGCCAATTTCTGCAGTGTAAATTCTTCCCACATGGGCAATTTTAAATTACGAAGATTGGGTCAGCATGCCTCAAAATTTACCATTAGGCCCTCCTGAGCTGACACAAGCTGGCTGCAACATTCCACAGGGCAGCTATATAATTTGCTAAAGCCAAAAGTGTCCGTTTCCATCCTTATGCTGTGAAAAGGGGAGTGAGCTTTTTACAATCTTTGCTTCCTTTACATGGACTGAAAGCAGAGAAGTTCACAGTGCAAGGGCAAATGTTAATAGATTGGGCAGGGGGGAAAAAAAGCCCTATTGCCCTTACAGCAATATTCAAAATGCTTTGGGATCAAGAGAATCACCTGGAATCCTTGTTAAATCACTCACTGCTGGGTCCCAGCCTTGGCGTTCTGAATTTAATAGATCTCATGTGGTGCTTAGAAATTTGAATTTTTAAACTTTTTCAGGTGATGCCGATGTTGATTAAGGCATCCATTATAACCAAGGAGTTACCTAACCACCTATAATCAACTACATATGTACAGTCTCTGGGAAAAAAAAAAGAGAAAATATTCCTTTTTATCATTTGCAACAGAACTGAATTCTCTTGGTAAAGTCTAGCTAAGCAAAGCTGTCAAGGGGATGACAGAACCACAATATGGACAGAACCTTGGTTTCTGTCAACACAGACATATATTAGTGTTCTCATTAACTTGAGAATTGTGTTGTATTTACCATGCATCTTCTACAACACTGAGATATTATAGGTGTCTTAAAAAAAAAAAAAAAACCAAAACCAAACCAAACCAAACAAAAAACAATGTAAGAAAGCTGCTTGGCTAGCTGGTTAGGAACACACAGATTTTCTATGAGCCAGCAAAATATTTCCACTATGTTAAGACAATGAAGTTTTTTAGTTTGTAAGAATATATTACTAGCACAAAGGTATTCAATAAGTTCATGGAAAATTGGGTACTAAATAATATGCTTAGCCTAGTGCAAAAATTTGAGGTCATATATAGCTGGAATGTTTAAGATCATGAAAATGAATTATGAAGAATGCATATATTTCAACTTTTCCACCAAATATACTTACTTACAAATCAATCTCTACATAATTTGTCAGTTGCCCTCACATGGTAACACTATATTTGAAAACTTTACCTGTGCCTATGCATGGTTTATAGTAGCATTTTACATAGCTCTAAATTCTGATGCTAATTTTGAGGGCACAGATAATTCTACTAAGTTGGATTTGGTAAAAATGAGTACATTAAAAGAAACTGCATTTCTAGTGTGAAGAATCAGAGTTGGACGAGCCCAAAACCACAAATTCTTTCAAGAACTACTAAATAAATAGGAATGGTAATGAATGCAACCTAACAACTGCAATGGTTTATATCCATGCAGTAGCTAAAGCTGACCATTAATCTAACGCTGATCATTTCAACAAAACACTCGTCCATTTATTTACTCATTCCAGGGAAAATAATGCTCAGCTGCTATCCCATGCCAGTCTGTGTGCCAGTTATAAGTTTACAAAAATGAAGATAGTAACCTCTATGCATTCATAGCCTTGTGGAGAAAACAGACAAGTAAATAAATCACAGCAGAGATTTAAGGGAATTATAATGATTTCACCAAGACACATCCAGGGACAGCTTAATTCAGCCTGGAAAGGTTCCAAGGTTACCAAAAGGCTATCATATTTATATATGAATTGGTCCTCAAAGATTAATAGGAATTGTTCTGAGGTGACTTTGAGTGTCTGGCAGAAAAGGGCATTCCAGACAGACAGAGGCTACATACAAAGCACATAGACAGGAGCATTGAGCCTTCCCAATGAAATGCAGGAGTCTGTTCTGGTTATCTGGACTACAGAGTTTATAAAGAATGATACAGAACTGCTAGGACAGAGCAATGGCAATTTATTAAAGTCTTGTAATGTGAGATTACCAGGGAATCGATGGAAGTGCTTTGAGCATAAGACTGATAACATTTGTGTTTTGCAGTATGGAGGCTTTATCAGAAGGGAGCACATGGCTTGGAAGAATAATTTGGTAACTGAAGTGAGAAGTGGTCTGGAATTGGTCTGATCAAAGGCTTTATCCATGTAGGGAATGCAGAAGACTGTGTGTGTGTGTGTGTGTGTGTGTGTGTGTGTGTGTGTGTGTGTGTGTGTGTGTGTGTGTGTTTCTTCTCTGGCACACACTGATGATACAGTGTAGTTGTACTTAAGGTAATTAAGATTTTGAACTGGGAAGTGCTGAAGAGAAGCTTTCTGTCAAGGTGGTCATTCATTCTACCATATCAGTATGTGTCATTTTTCAGTTAGTCTGCAAGATAGACTATTTTTAAGTTAGGTGCTGAGTTTTTCATTCCTCAGATGTTACAATCTTCACATCCAATCTAGAGTGCTTCCTATCATTAGGAGCTCATCAAAATTTTCTGAATTAAGTGTGATAAAAGTGGCTACTTAAACAGACAGTAAAGTGACTTTTCCTCTTCCTAACTTTTCTATGATGCAAATTACATACCATTGATTACATTTCTTATAGAGGACTTTAAGAGCCCATGTAAGTCTTTCCAGGTTTATAACCATTGTATTAAACTTTTTTAATTCCTGAAACAAACTGTATTTGAAAAACTAATGCTCTAGACTGGGTTATTCATTCACTTCCCTACAGGGACTAGGTGGCAAATAAGCACAGAACCAGATTTGTCCAAAGCAAAAAAAAAGGCACAACTTCAATTACAACTGGTTTTTCATGGAGATATGTTAAAAAAAAAATAAACAAATGAAAAATACTACTGATATTCTTTCACATAAGTGTATGCCAGAGAAGTTGTACCAAGATCCTTAAATGCACAAGAAAGTGCAATAAAACCTATTAGTGCGTTGTATGGAATTAAGACCAATATGGATATTATGCTAGAGAAATTGATAACATACTATTGTGCATAAATGCTAAAGAAACCAACAAACTAGATGTACACAAAGCTATATTGATGGATCTTTAAAACACAGTTATGAATTTTTGCAAAGAAACATAAGATTTATAAAACGACATTGCTTTAATAAATTTAAACTATACTTATAAATAATACATATTATTGTTTCACAAGAATAAAGCAGGAACTAAATAGGAGTAGAGACATCACTGTTACATTTTAGGGATTTTTAAAACTGGTGGTTAAAACAATCATTAAAAATTAAAATGAATAAATTTAAAGTTCAATGAAGAGTATGAAACACATATAATAAATACCAAAAATTCATCACTTCATATTCCAATTTTCCTCTATGCTCTTGAATTTATTTATATCCAGCATGCATGTACTGTTACATTAGAGCTTTTAATATTTTTGCCTAGGATGCATATTTTTCAACATTTATTAAACTACCCATGGATATCAGTCTATGAATTATAAATATCCGCTATGGATCCAAAATCAAACAAAATGCCTCTTATTGAGAAAAACTATCAGAGAAGGTCATGACATTTGGAAAACTGCTTTCAGACCTGGTATTAGAGCCTAAACACATGAATTAGATATTATAAAAAGCCAGCTAATAATATGTTTGGTCTCTGGGTTCCTTTTCAAAGTGACTGTAACTTCACAAGGACAGAATATCAAGAGCATATGAAAATACCCTTGCTGAAAACAGAAAGGAGCAATAGTCAAAAGGGAGAAGGTAAGAAACTTAAAAGTTTGTAATCTAGAAGTATAGTAGTTTTGGTCATTTAGTTAAGAGGTGATAGTTCAATCTATGACAGATTCTTATCACAGACTGCATCATGCATATGAAGTTATCTCTCTGGGAGGAGAAAGAGAGGACAGAGATTGATTCAAATATTTTTGAGCATCTGCTCACTCTTATACTCAATAATTATATTGGCCCCAAGGTGAGTGGGCCAAGGGAGGAAAACTTGTTTCTATAGATGTCTTATGTTCCAATTTCTTGTCATAATAAAGCCATCTCATTTGATTTTAGTTTGCTTCTAGTATTTGAAGGAATATATCCTATAGACTTGATTCTCAAAGCAAATTACCCAAATCGTCTCAAGAAAGAATACTTTACATTGAACTTCACCATGTTCCAAATGCATCATGGTGTAACTAAACAATAATAAGAAATACATAATGATACCCCGAGAAAATTAGGAAACATTTAATAGGCATTGTAACTTGGAGTGAGAAGTCTTAGATTTTCAGTCTTTATTAATACCAGTAGTGTGATCCTTGGCAAATCTCATAGGTTGCTCAGATTATCCAAACTTGTAACCTGGATGTAATACTTTCACCTGCTTCAAAATTTTGTTGGAGAAACTAAATGAGGTTTTTTTTTTTTTTAATCTGGAAAGAATTCTGTGAACTCTAAAGTAATCTAAAATAGTTGGTTAGATGTTATGCACTGCTTAATGAAGCAGAACAGAAGTTAGTCAATAAAAATTTTCATTAAAATAGCTAAACC